AGCACTCCGAAGAGTCGATTATTGCCATTTATATCTTGCATAGTTCCTGAAAAGCTTCACGAGAATGTTATGAGTCATAGTACACTCATCCCAGAAAACAATTGAACTTGTTTGTAACACTGCAGCATTCCGCTATTGTTTTTTAATATTACACATTACATTTGTTTACTGTGAATGTCTAATGGCAGCTCAAAGCTGAATGCGCCGTTCGTCACCATCTACCAAAGTGGCCAATGCAATATTTTGTTGTAGCCGTATCTTTGCAAGGATTAATGACATAAAAATATTTTTATCGGTTCCACCAGGTGCGTCTTATAAAAAATCTATCCTGTTTTGCATCAACAGTCAACATGATTCGATTGTAAATAATTTTTGTTCAGTCTGTCAATAATGGCTCATTATTTACAATGAGTGTGCTAAGTCACGTCGTCATATTGTTTTTCTCGTTTTGTATATCAGTGATCATTAAATCAGTTGTTGGACGATCAGGCGAAGGCCTGCTATAGTGGTTGAGTGAAAGAGTTTGAAACAAAATACATAAATCTTCTAGTAGTAGTAACGCTTCATTGTACATCTCTGGTGTGAAATATTAGTCGGACATCGTTCTGTTGTCTTACTCGTTCAAATATCTTCAGTCATGTAATTTTTATATTTTTCCCACAATGGCTAATGATTGTGTTGGATAGCATGTTGAGAATAATTGCAATAGTTGTTACGAATATTATTTGGCGTAGAAGTTAAAGCTGCACTAGAAGGTGCCAATCCAATGGTTTGTCATCCTCGCAGCAGTTTTGCTCGGCGACATGGTTCTGATAGGTATTAATATCCTCGACAATCAAACTCGGTTGCCAAAAAACTCAAAAATGTTGGGGTTCCCAGGAACATTTACGCAATAACAAACGCAAAAAAAGCACTCACGTTGTTTTGGATGCACTGTGTAGAGTCGTCCCAATGTTTTGCCTGCGATTGACGGATGTGGACGAATGTGGTACCCACGTTTACGCGGGTCCCATGTTTTACCTGATTTGTTCCATATAAAGTAGCGTGGAACATCGTTATATAAGTAATGGTTTGGCAAATAGGCCGAAAACGTCAAGCTTTTGGCATAAGGCAAAAAATTCAGTGAGTGTACTTTTCGGTGTTTCTGAAGCTCTTTGGATAACATTTTCTTCAGTGAAATATACACGCTGGCCATTTTCAAGATGCACTGCAAGATGCTGTACAGATGTATCTCGATCGTGGATGGAAAAACTAAAAATACGCCAGATAGCTTCGTTACTGCTGATGTATCTGCCCATTTGATATTGTGTTATTTCATAATTTTTATTAATATCTTGCACTTCAAACATAGCCAAATCACAGCCTTTATTTATATATTTACAAATGTATTTAATGGATTTTACGGAATAGCAAAACTCAACATTAATATGGGCCATATACGTTTTTGAAAACAATGGCGAATATGGAACAACCCCACTGATTATCAATTTCTAGTTGATTAAAATGTGATGTTCGCATTGTGAACACATTGCCACCGTTGTAGGCGTTTCTACGGCGATACAGTGGATAACCGTCAATATCCGTAATTGTATGATTGACACATTTTTTCAAAAAACGTTTCTTACATTTGACATTTTCCATGCATGGTAATGTCATGTTAAAACTACCACATGATCCATGGATCATGTGACTGGTAACAATTTCAAACAATTCTGGGTCGATTGATGGATCCAAAATGTGAACATGTGGCAAACCTCTTTTTTGCCATTCAACCGAATACAACCAACAAATTGTCGTGCCAAAATCCGAAAACTTGCCGATAAATTCAATCAAGGACTTTAATTTTCGCTTAAACACACGTGAAACGATATCATGACGATGTATTGATTGTTGGCCTGGTAACAGCAAGGTTTGTACTTCCTCCCAATTTGGATTATATGTAAATGTAATAAATAAATCGGGCCGGCCATAATGACGTACGTAGGTCATCGCATCTTGTGTACTTTTGCATGTTCACAATGTACTCTTGCATGTTCCGTGGACTGCCAATGCAGCTAGAGGGTAAAATTACCAATGTTGTTGATGTTTAAATTTTCATCGTTGTTTCCTATAATAGCATCCCGTAAATGAATATAATCCTCTGACCGTCGCTTAACTTGATTGAAACGAAGGTATCGCAAACGTTCACTCTCGATCTTAGCATACATGTTTACAACATATTGGTGGTAGAGCTGACGGTATCGAAGAATATAATTGTGCTGATTATCTCTTATCATCAACCGGTACGCGTAGCATTGAGCTGACCCTTTTATTCGTTTCATTACCTGGAAATAATAAATAAATTTAAATTAAGATTGTGGTATGTTAAAAAATAACACTAATAAATTAAAAAATTTAACCCCTACCAGTTGCCGGATTAACCTGATTAATGTTAATGTGATATCCATCTTGACCCTGCCAGAATATCAGTGGATATGGTAGTGCATCGTACGAACGATGTAAGTTTGATATGACATGAACAGTGCTGTCACGACGTGTTATTTTGATAGCTCTGTTATCAACTGGATCACCGACCGTGATAATAGCAACTTCTCCTACGGTTGGCGCGTTGAACTGCCAGCGTGTTCTCCTAATGGTGTTTTGTCAGCTCTGATGACAATTTGTAAGTTGTCATTTTGTAATTGTGGTGACACTCTTAAATAATTGAATAAGATGGTTATGACTTTCTAAAAAAAATTCCAACAACTCTACAATAGCACTTTGTACTGTTTGTTCGATAAAATTATGCAGACATCTAGTTGTCACTCGTTCTTCAGAACTGCCCATAAAATAAATTTGAAGAAATTTTGGCTCTTCGTTAGGTATTGGCATCAACGAACCAATTTTATGGTACACCTGACCTTGTATTTTAAAATACTTTCAAAATTACGTCCATCGGATGATAAATCGCAAATTTTAGTTGCACCAAATGACGTCATTTGGAAGCAAGAATTGAATTTGCGTGTCATACGTAAGAATAATTTTGAATCATCTGATTCACCAGCGAGAAGTGACTGTAGGGGCTCCGGCGGACTAAGAAGAGGTAACTAAACCACTTTTGCTGATGAACAACACATGCCCGGTGGTACATTTTGGAATTTCAAAGCCTCACAGTATCTGCATATTTGATCCGTTGAACTGATAACGATCTCTGAATGTGCAGAATAATTGATGTCTGGAGAATACTCGAACACCAGACGAAAAAAAGCGTTAATGCACGACTGGTTTGCTGTCTCTCTTGATCCTGTGCTCGCTATCTGGATGAATGTTGTTCACGCGCCGCTTTTGACCTTTATCTCTTTGTAACCGCAGACATTCATCACGATGTTTGCTTGCCTCTCGCATACGACTTTCTGCTGCTCTATGCCTTTCAGTGGTGTTTGCTGTAATGGTTTGATTTGTTGACATGAACGCTCTATCCGTACGTTTACGTCGTACGTCACCGCTACAGGCATTATTGAGGTTAGATTTTTTGGAGGTATATCACTGAAAATGATAATTAAAATAATACACTAAAATTGAAATAAAATCGGTATATAATTGTCAATGACAAAAAAAAACAATTCACTTTAAAATACAAATGCAAGCGATCGTTTATAAACTAAGTTTTATCATGCATTGACATTTTTTAAATATAAATTGTAATAATTTTTTTGCACTGAAATATTGATGAATCAATTATTTTTCAATTGCCATAATTAGTAATAGAAACATGGATAAATAATATACAATATATAAACAATAAAACACCAAAAATGTTTAAAAAAGTAAGAATAATTTCACTATAATGAAAATTTTTCTTATACTTTGGACTAAGCAACACGTGGTCGGTTATATAAATATAATATTAAATTTTAACATAGCGCCATCTGTTGGATACTCACTCAATTCAGTTAACTGACTACCTTATACCGTCATCTGTTAGAATCTTACCGAACTATGTCTCTCTTTAGATAAAAAATAATTAATTCGCAAGAAATAAAATTGCAATCTCAAATTCGAAAAATAAACTATCGTATCTGAGATAGTATCTGAGATACGATAGTTTATTTTTCGAATTTGAGATTGCAATTTTATTTATTGCGAATTAATTATGTTTGCGGTATATATATTTATTGTGTATTAATTATTTGCGGTGTATATATATATATATATATATATATATATATATATATATATATATATATATACACCGCACTATTCAATAATGTATTGATCTTTTTTTATTCCATTTACATTGTTCACTTTGCCTTTTCAAACAATACCTTTCAGTTTCCTACTAATTGCTTGCTGATTCTTCCGTGTTGTATGTGTTCAGGTGTGAGTACTGTTTCAAAAGGACAGCACAAAGCAATGTCGCAATGAGCTGCGAATGTTTGCCCAGATAAAAGTGGGTTATGTTTCCTTGTTTACGTATTTCAAGGTCTCTGTCAGTGTACCAATGCAACCAACCCTAAGTAATCTGTCTGGTGTAGTTTACTTGCATGTTTTGAACGCCGAAGTAATTGTGTGTTAGGTATACAGTTTGTAGGCATTTTCAAAAATGTTCAGGATGCTACTTCTATTATCAGCAAAGATGCGTGATTATCGAATCAAACGCTCACTCCCTCCCACAAATTATACAACTTTTTTAAATGAAGGTATTGGGAAATAACTTGCTTATTTCGGTTGTTGGTTGAAAAAATATTCATATTAATGTTGCAAATAAGGAAATACATAAATGATATTTAGATACTAGATTGCTATAATCACACAGCTATGTTAAATGGTTACATTTGGAACGGATAGAGCACAAAAAAGCAGAGATAAAATTATTTTCTTTACATTTATTATAATCACAAATGATTTTACAGAGTAAACAGACATCCACTGTTTTCTCTCAAAAGTTTTTCTGACTTCTTGAACATACAAAATTTAGCCACGATATAAATGGATAGGCCGCAAGTTGTAGAGGTCAGCAATCACCTGAAAATCAGGAAAAATGGTACATAAAAGTATTTATCGGTATTCCAGAATTCAAACTAGATATTTTTCGAGGTTTCAGGCACTTTAACTAACGGAAAGTATAAAATAACAAACAATTATATACATTTATGAAGACAAAGTTTAAAAAATAAAGAAAAATATATCATATGATTCTAAAGCTCTTCTGTGTTCTAATATTTAGTTAAATGTAAAAGACACTAGCATGAGAGATGTGTGAAAAGTGCATTCAGGAGGCAATATCACATTGTACGGGTAAAAAAACAGACTCATATTTTGAAAATTCTTTCAATTAAAAAACACAACCGAATGTAATAGTTAAATTGTATCTGCACGGTGCGGATATGTTAACGACTCGTAGTATTAATTGTGTTTGCGCAGTTAAAGTCCCTACTTTTCCGTTCATTTTTTAACTTTTTACGTTGTTTTCATTATTAATGATTTATTACATCAGCATTATAATGGTAAGAACTTACTAATACTGGGAAACACTTTACCAAATTTCATTGATTTATTACAAAATACCAATTTTATTTTTCAGTACAAACTTTAAAAGTCGTTACCTCGAAAGTAGAGAAATGTGACTGTACAACTTATTCACTATGCTTACAGAATTGTACCATAGCCGTGTCTTCAGTAAAACAAACATATCACTCCCACGCTTAAAATAAATCGTTCATGTATCATCAAACCCCGTGAAATTAAGTCAGCCTACCGTGAAAACCATACACATCCTTTCCTCGCACAGTCAGTAATCGGGTAATAATTCTAGAAAGTTAGGTCAGAATGAGCCAACAATATACAAAGGAGGGGAATAAGTTCACCAGTTTATTACCAAAAAACAACAATAGTTTCTGTTGATACAACTACTAAATCTCTGGAATTATTTAGAGCTTACATACCGTTATTAGAACAAAAGAAAACAATTGTCTCGTAAACTGGTGGACAGATGATTGGTTAATTTGTTAACTTATTTTATTTTAACCTAGCACTCAATTACTCTTTTTACTGACATAGTTGTCTGTGCTGGTACACAAAGTGAGCAATGAAGAACATTGTTTTATTAAATGATTGGTTAATTATTCCGGGCACATGAACGGCTAAGGTCACTATTCCCATAAGTGTAGTGCATGTTTGTATCGCGGGAGGCTTGCGGGGTGGAATGAAACACAGAGAGACGCACCTTTCCAATACGCGGCAGGGACGGCCTCCGCAATGGCTGTTGCTGTTCTTGCTGTTGCTGTTGCTCCTGTTGTTGTTGTTGTTGTTGTTGTTGTTGCTGTTGTTGTTCTTGTTGTTGCTGTTGCTGCTGAGCGGCCTGGAGCGCGCCCGCCACGGCGCTGGACCCGGCCTCCATGGCGGCAGCGAGTTGGTTCAGCTTGGCCACCAGCGCCTCCGCGCGTTCCTTAGCGTGGTGATGGAAAATTGTAGCAAAACGTCGATACTTCGATACATCAGAAAACATTTTTCGATGTCTAT